AAATTCAACTATACTCTAAAAATAGCCTTTGCAGATTTTAACTTTTCATCTTTCAAAGCTCATCTAATGCCATGTTTGCTTAATTAGATTCTCCATATCTCTCAATGTTTGAGCTCCTAGAAATCGTCAAAATTCCTCCATAAAACCTCCTAATGTTTACATAGCTTGGGGCACCTTGTTTTGATGAATAGAAGTCTGAACTTCTACTGCTTTGGGTTGTATGATGCTCAGGGTTTGTCAATTCTTTCTTAAATTCAGCAAGAATCCTACAGTGTGAGAAGAAACAGGGTCAGAATCTGAAGGAAAGCGCGCTTGGACAACACCAATGGCAAATGCGACAGGACTCTTGATGGGTATTTTGTATGTTGCTGTTCTCTCGTGGGTCCTGTGATTTCATGGCGTACAAACAAGTTCCCAGGAAAGACAATGATTTCTCCCTGTGTTTAAAGTTATCCAGTATTTTCACCAACCCAAAACTACAAAAATGAGAAATCTAAGTGCTTGAATTTCTCCGAGCATGGTAATTACATTGGTGTATGAGTGTTGTTAAGAAGTCAGAATAATCAAAATACACAAGCACTGGTATGGAAAATAAAGAATAAATTAGTCTAGGTATAATTTTAAGGTCATTATCATTACCACATGTCACTTTACTGACCTTTCTCTTCTGCACCTGCTGGTTTGTTCTTCCAAAACAAATGCACTTACAAAGTAACTCCTGATCATATTTTTTTAAAAAAACTTGAACCAATATCATGTGTAATCACCATCACAATTAATGTTCAAGATGAAGAAGACATAGGTACATATATAGCTGGAAACATTTAGCTAAAGTCCAACAACTTGTTATCATAGATCCATGTGTGACTTTTTGTTGCTTCTGAAAAATCATGAAAACGTTGAAGATACAGTCTGGAGCTGAGAACCTCCACTGACCTTTGTCTCTGAATCAGTATTCTGTAGTGTCAAGTTGTGGTTAAACTTTATCAGCTTTATCTTAATTCATAAATTTGTGTGGTTTATTTGAAGGTAAACAACTCATAAAAGCATTTTGGGATTCATTTTCAAGAACAGCTCTGAAATGACCCACGGATAACGTGAGCAGAGCGCAACCCCTATGCTAACTGCAGAGGAGGCAAAACCCCCGAGAGCTGGGACGTCAGAAACATCCTAGTTTCACTTACAAAATCCAAGAAGTAGGTGTAAGAACACAAACACATCAACTTCTTTAAGTTAGGTTTCATTTTGCAGTAAAGGTTAACACGTTGGTTGTTCTGAAAATTGCAAAGCAAGAAAAATACTACATGCACATGTCCAAATTAATGGTTGATTAAGGTTTCAACTTGAAAATTTGGTTGTAAAGTGTTGAAAATTTGAGTAGCATGCAAGTTTTGAGACTTCCAGGTTTTGTAGATTTTTTTAAGGATAAGAGCACAAGATTAGTAAACACTACACAACATCAAGTTCATGTTGATTTTACCTCGTTCATTCTTAAAGCACAGACCTCACAGAATACAGTACCAACAAGTTCAAGCCATACCTCCATGAAAGATTTAGCACCTGAGGTCAGAATGTGGTTTTCTTCTTAAGCTGTAATTCCTTTACAAATTGGAGCATTTTGTACTTACTGCTACCCTTTGAACTCTGACAGTGAATAATTAAAACTAAACTACAAAGCATATTCCGTGACGTTTATTATACTGTAGGGTTTGTGTTTCTGCTTAGTGGCTTATTATAAATGCTTGCCTGTCCTTAGAAGGCTAACCCTGCCATTAGTCTGCCTTGACAGAACTGGCTGGCTCCTAAAAGCAAGACAGAGAGCTCCAAATCATAGTAGAATGATCGTGTTAGCTACTCACCATATTGACAGTGGGGTCCATGAAATCCTGGTGAGCAGAGACACCGCCTGGCTTTCCCGTCTGAGCATTCCCTTCCACTGAAATGAGTTCCCAGAGAAGAGAAAGCTGAAGGAGTGTGGGTAAAGAGGATGGGAGGGTGGAGTTGAGAGAGAGAAAGGAAATCATCAATAGATGTACCATGTTACTAATATAACCTGATCCAGAAATTCTCACAGGTCCCTCCATAGCAACTTGTCATTACAAGTCAATGGCTGATTGAAGCTTAGCAGAATCCTCTGTGGGAACATTCCCATCACCTCTGTTAGAAATGCAGATTCTGATTAAGGCCCATTGAATCAGAAACCACACTTTAACAAGATACCAGGCATTTGTATTCACATTCAAATTGAAGAAATATTAGCCTAAAGGAACTATATGGACATGGTAGCTGTGAAAACAATCTTTTTTTAAAAAGGTAGTAATATTTAATCAGAGGCAAAGGACTTGGATAGGAGTCATATAATAAATATAAAGTATTCATCTCACAGTTGTCAGTTTTCTGGAGTCTATAACACAGTTAAGACAGTACTATGGGTAGGTCTTTTCACTGCTCTTGAACCAATCAGTTACAGTGACCTGGCACTTTATGCAAATAGTTAGTGGCCCTTGGCATACTACTCAATGTTACACCTGCTTAATATGGGAAGCCTGCGGCACAATTTCACCAAGATACTTCAAGAGCAGAAAGCACATTGGGGAAGAAAACAGGATGCCAACAAACTCCCCAAGGTGCAGAGCAGCAGGAGAGATGAATTGTCCTGCTTCTGTACTGCATTGATTGCAACACACTGAGGCATTCTAAGTGAATTCGCAATAACAATAAGCACATAATGTAGGTAAAGGGCTCACTAAACAGAACCATTTCTCCCAGCGTAAATGAACTGTACAGTGCCACTGGTTCTGCTGCCTGAGTGCTGTCAAACACAACACTCCAAAGGTTCTGAAATACCCTTGCCAGACGTTCGTAAAAGGAACGCACACCTCATCTTCAAAAGTAAACTACCTCCAGAGTTCTGCGATTAATCACGACAAGCCCAAGTGGAGAAATCCCATTTAGATTTCATACAGTGATTTCCCTCTGGACTTCTGAATCAACTGTTGGTTACAAATTTGATGATATGGGAAAGGGGCAAAGAGAGAGGAGAGATGGACGTCAAGGTATAGCCTGTCTGGCTTTAAATCAGCTGTCTTTGAAATAAAGGGACAGAATATAAAGCAGTAGTTCCGTGGGTCCTGAGCTGAAACCCATCATTAGCACAGCTTCACAGTGGTTTCTGTGTGTGTGCATTTTGTGTGTGTGCATTTTCGCATGCCATGTGCGCGTCATCTGTCCAAAGTGAAGTTCTGCATCTGCAGTGCTTCTAAAGATACCAAAAACTTGACAGGCATGATATGATTGGAGTAAAAAACTAAGCAAAACCAGTTATTCTAGTGACAGAGAAATGAATGCACAGAATTACAACTTACGGTAGAGGCAGCCTGGTTCATCATCCCATCGGCTCCAACCAGGGCAGCATCTGAAGACCGTCTGCTGCTCTGTGGTATACACCTGTCTATAGACAGTGTAATACCGAGTCCTAAGGAGCACAGAATCTGGGTCAGGGAACGGTAACACTTCTCTAAAGGCAAAGTTTTCATTTCGTATTTATAAAAATTCCCTCTCCAAATCAAATCTTGCCATATGTACAGATAGAGAGATGAGTAACTAGATGGGTGGATGTATTATCTATCTATCTATCTATCTATCTATCATCTATGTATCTATCATCTATATATAGGAAGATTTATGTATACATGTGACTATATACTTCATATATATTACATACATACTTCATCACATATGTAATCAATGTTGGTTTTAGGAATGGACTAATGAAAATTAAGAAAGATTCCACGTGCTGGAGTCTAAACTATCCTAAAGACTTCTGAAGTTATCAAGACTGAAATCCAAAATTATAAGGAGAATACTGAAAATATATGAAGGATCATAAGGCCTATGCATTTCAACTTGACATTGAAGGCTCTTCATATATTGGTTTTACTCCAGGAAACATTTTCAACCACAGAGTTACCACCTGCAATGGGCTGACAGTCCTTAGTGGAAGAGACAGACTACAAGGAAAGTGGTGAGTGTGTGGTTCCCAAATGTGCACAGTGCATCACATGCACAAACCCACACACAGACACACATGTACATAATTTAAAATGAAAATAAAATATTTTAAATATATATATATGAAATGTCAAAATTTGATGTGGGACAAGGCAATTATGGCAAAAGATAGTTTTAAAAGACTCCTTAGTGAGGAAGTCATGAACAGAATGTTTTTAACAGTGTATTATCCATGTGAAATATTAGTTGACTGGGACCCTAAACACCTCCGCTCATACTTCCTTTTCTATCAAATCAGCCATAGGTCAGCTTTCTCTCCAAAGTGCTAGTTCATTCTTTCCTGTTCTCATGCCTCGCCCCATGTCCCATCCCAAATCCTCTCATTAGTCAAGGCCACTTTATATTTCCAGTGTCTCCAACCTCTCTGTCCTCCCTGTGTCAAAATACACTGCTCTTTATCTCTAAAAGCAGAAGTTATTGACTGCCACATTGTCTACATTTCATTTTTCAACATCTTGAAATATAACACTATTTTGTGTTTATATTTCCAGTTAGAATATGACTGTAGTTTATGTTCAAAACAAATATGTTTGGCAAAGATGTCAATTATCCTTCAATACTGCAATCCCTCCAAACCAGTGCCACATATAAGATGTGTTAAGCTACAAAGATCCGGAGAATAAACATTTGAAACTTGCTCTATATATTTATATTTGTTTTTTCCCAAATATGCCTATAAGGCAGTGAATTTCTTTGATTCAGATTAATACCTACAATGATTAAGCTACATTAGGGTAATACAGAAAATTTAAATGAAAAACTATTTTGAAACAAAATTCCTGGAGCTGGACTGATGGGTTAGTTGGTAAAAAGCAAGTCTGATGACCTAGGTTCAAGCCCTAGAACCTAAGGAAAAGCTGGATTCAGCCATGTAAGTATTTGTAATCCTAGTTCTCCTATGGAGAGATAGAGGACAGAGAGAGGATTCCCAGATCACTGGCCAGTTATCCTATGCAGAAATGAACAAGGAGAGACTCAGCCTCAAATCATGTAGACACTGAAAACCAATACCTGAGATTGTCCTCTGACCTTTACAAGCATGGCATATATATATGGAGACACACACACACACACACACACACACACACACACACACACACACACTCCTCTAATCAGTAAATCATATATACTATCTGTTTGCTTCTATTCTAATTTCCTTTACAATAAATTTTACTGCTATAGCTTTGTAGTAACACAAACTGGGTACAGAGCATTATGCCACATGCGTAAAATATGTTTTCAGCTAATCCTCAGGCTATTCATGCATGACATTATTTTTTACAACTTCACACACTAAAGCACAGAGAAATCTATAACCTTTACCTAAGGCTACACAGCTACTAAGAACCAGGGAAAACTTTTCTGAATTAAATGTCATTTAAATAGTCTCAATTTAACCCAGCCCCCCTGCCCCACAAAAGACTACTAATGATAAGTGCACACACATACACACACACAGACATACAAGGTACATGTAAATATCCATAATTATAAATTCTTAAGTCTTGAATCATACCTCTCCTACTAGCTCTATAAAATGATAAACCTAATTGTTTATATACAACCAAAACTTTCCTCTGACAATAGTAGTATTAATGAATTCATTAACCTGAAACCATGCTTTTTTATTAGGGTCTATCTTGAATTCAGCTTCATTTGATTCATTTACATAAAATCCAACCCATCAGCAACTATTTGTATCAAGAGAATGTTAGTTGTTTTGTGAAACTATTTTAAAACTATGAAAAAAATAAAGTCTACATGAAGCCTGGACTCTTACAAAGCATTGTGGACCCTTGCTTTTTCTCTCTTGTAGCCTGCTGGGCTAATCCTAATTCAAAGCCCATAATAAAGTTAAAGAAGCACCAGGCTTCAAAGTGCTACAGGAGTAACGAGGGCAGGTCAGACATGGGTGCACAGCTGTAGATATCCTTCTTCCAAGTCCTGCTAAATTTAGCAAACCAACACAATATTCCTTGTTTCTGTCAGTTTTCTGATCTTTACCTTCCAATGGTATATCATGTCATGAAGAAAAATTAGTGGCATCTAACCCGAAATACTTCACACATAAACAAGGCCTCAAGTAAAATAATCATTCCTTCCCCTGAGGAAGGAATCTGTGTACTTCTGAATGTTCTTGGTCAGAATGCCTTATGTTCCTTTATTTAATTATGCAGCCATTTCCTAAAACTTGTGGGATAAAGTATTTAGGAACAGATGAAGCTTCTGGTTTTGAGTTTTATCAATCACAAAGAATTAGAAATAGCCTTACCGTCTTTCATAACCCACACACCGCTGTGGGCCTGTACAACCGTGTTTCCAGGGTTTGATCACGTCTATAAAAGCTCGGATGCATGGGCGTGGCAAACCCACCACAGCCATGTGCTCTTCTTTACAAACATTTGGCCTTTGAAAAAAGAGAGATGAGCAGTTATCAGAGAGGAGCATACAGGTTTTCTGTATGAGGCATAAAGTATTTGTTCATTTATTTTCCATAAAATGTTCATAATGGCTTGTGAAATGTATAAAGTAACAGAGAATAATACAATGTTATAAAAGCCTCAACGTCCATAACAATGTACAATTACTGCATGCCGATTAAAACAAAATAGTTTGTAATATTCAGGACCAGGGAGAGGAAAACTTGGGATAGATTTTGAAGACCAGGAAAACTTACAAGATAGATATCCAAGCCATTAATTTCCCAAGTGATTAAGGTAATTGGGAAAATTAAGTTTTGCATTCTTTGAGAACCAGAATTTGAAAAGAAACAAAATGTCAAGATTCTCAAGATCTGTAAATGAAAAGCAAGCCAATGTATCAAAAGAAATCAAATGTTTCTTAGAAATTATTTCTGAACAAAAATTTTCATTTGTATCTTTAATGGAATTTCACATGCAATGTAATGCTTGTTTAAACACAAATATTTTTCAACCTTCCCCATTAAAGGAATATTGCCTTACAGAAAGTATATCTAGACTTAGTGTATTTTAGGACACACTATTGTTAGTTTTTAAATGTGTACAGGTAGATAACACTGATAATCTAAAGCATCAAATTTCTTAGACTCTTGTAATTTGAAGAATGCCTTTGGTGATAAAGGATTGTGCATCACACACCAATTTTTCCTTTAAAAATAATACTAATTATAGTAGCAAACTGGGCCTGCCCAGTCCACACTGGCTTTTCATGCATTGAGAGTCATTGCAAGTCTTGCACTGAGACAAAGAGAGATTGTGAGAGATATTCAGAGTCTGCTGTTCCTGAATTTCTCAAATTTACAGTCCAGCTTAGTCTACCTCACACCTAATCTCAGGGAGTTTTCGGACAGATTTAGTCTACCCTACTCACAATCTGCTGAAAGTTAAAAATGAACTCTCTTTGAGTTGCTGGAGTCAGCTCATAAACATCTCTGTGAACTTGTCCAGGGACATAGCATCAATACTGATAAATGTCTCAAAGCACTTCCACACTAAATTTGATTCCATCACCCTCTGTGACCAGCCTCTTTTTGTTATCACTTTTTACTATTGTTCTAGATCTCACCATCTGATTTCCCTATCGACCTGATTCTCACATCCACATGTATTTCTAAAAGACAATTGCTTGGATTGTTAATTATTAACCTCATCTAAACTCAGTAGTGTTCATTCTGAACTTTATGAGTTTACAAACATACTTTAATATTGAAATAACTTTAATGCAGAAATAACTGATAAACAATGAAATAAAGTATGTGCAAAAATTATACCTACACTGGGAATTCATAGTCAATAAGAATTGGGCAGCAAGACTAAAGAAAATCTTTGCTTTTAAGAATATACTACACTTAAGACTTAAGGAACCTAATGGAACAAGGGGTAGATAGAATACTAACGCATCTTTCAACTTTTATTAATGAAGTTCCCTCATGCTACAGAGGGCCATGAACACAAATGGCCAAATTATAGAGAATAAGAGTCTGCAGAGTGTGGGTCCTGGGCAGAGTGTGGGTCCTGGACAGAGTGTGGGTCCTGGACAGAGTGTGGGTCCTCCTATATTAAACTTCACCCTCCAAGGGATCAGAAACCATTGCAGAAGTGTTGGGGGTGGGTAAGAGCCACAGGAGGAGGTGCATGACCACATGGATATAGAGTCTTACAGGCTCCTGGGACCTTGCACATATGAACTAACAGCAATGGTGTCAGCATGTACAAGATCCACACACACACACAAACACAAAAATCCAGCATAGAAGCATGGAAATGGGCAGCAGGCCTCAGTCTTACCCGAAGAACTACTGGGCAGATGATTACGGCTGAGTGAAGAAGAGCTGATCTATCTTAAGGGAGTGAGTCTAGTAATATGCTACACTAGACCCCAGTGAATGTTATGTGCACTGAAGGATGTCTGGGGACACTTGATTTGATAGGCCTTAGCATAAATGAAAGAATGCATGAAACCCAGTGGCAGGGTATGGGAGGGTGCCAATGGAGAAGGGGATATAAAGATGATTAAGATATTGTGTATGAGATACACAAAAATTCAATTAAATTTTTTTAATTAATAAAGACTATTAGCTAATCACAAAATAAAATATTTTTAAAAGAATCCACTAATATAGGTGATATATATTTGTACATGTGTATCCATCTATGTTCATAAATACATTCATACATACATGTATTAAAATACATCTTCTTTTGGCATTACATGCTTTATATGAGCCAAGAAGCCTAAATAGAATGGATGCAAAGGTAGAACTATCCAGTACACCATCTAAAATACAGGGCACTGATTTCATAGCAAACCAATCCAAGTAATCTAATGTACCATCTTCATCCCCAGCAGGAACTCAGTATCCTCCACCTCTTCTCACTTCCTCTCCCAACACAAGAGCCAGGGTCGTTAGGAAAAAATGGGAGAAAGTGGGGGGGATGCTTCAGATTCAGACCACAAGCATCTCTTGTGTTTCCCTTGCTCAGCCTTTAAGCTGTCAGACTACAGTTCTAGAATTGACAGAAAGCAAGATTCAGATGTTGAAAGCTGAGTTTTAAACTGAGCTGAAAGTAAGTTAACAACGTGATTAGAATCTTTAAAATTTGCAAGGGAGTATATCATTATATAATGATTTAGAACACGGGCAGCAACCTGACATAATTATACAATAAGAACATAAACAGCATCATGTTACACTCCAGCATGCTGAGACTTCCTCCAAGCCAGCATTGCTGGCTGATGGATCTAGCTCCCTCTACCTGTCATCCTACACGCAGTCTAGATCCAGACCTCAGTCCCCTGGAAATCATCACCTTAGAAGGCAGTTTAAAGGGAAAGTGACAGAAAGGACAGTTTTTGCATGCTGTGAATCTGCTTTGAGACACTGTTATTCTCTTCAAATTCCTCCTTACTATCACTGCCTGGATCCATGCTCACACCTTCATCAGTCCTTGCTGGGCTTCAACACGTCGTTGGTCAGTCCTCATGTACCTGCTCTGGTCTACCAAGAGTTCTAAGTTTAAGTTTTCATGTATCCCTATTTTGTCATTTGTTGTAAAATATTTCCTCACTTTTATAGGTATCTTAAGAAGCAGAGCCTCTAAATATGAATTTATAATACTTCTTTGACCATAACTCCTAACCTAGCTTCTAAATTCTTTTTTCTTTCTTTCTGTTTTGGTCTTTTTGAGACAGGGTCTCTCTGTGGCCCAGCTGGCCTAGAACTCCTTATGTAACCAGACTGGCTTCAATCTCATAAAGATCTACATGTCTCTGGCTCCCAAGTGCTTGGATTAAAGGTGTGTACCACCACAATGCCCAGCTAAAATTCTTAAGTATGACCTTTTCCCTCCGCTATACAATATTAGTACCACCAACCTATTTCTCTGATGACATGGGGGAGGGTATTCAATCAGTTGTACCTAAATAAATGAATAAGTGATTTTGCCTTATTAGAACTCAAGTGATCAAGAATACACATCAGTGAAGACATGTAATAAAGCATTCATAGAAGCTGACAGACAACGCATGCTTGGCTATGTTAGCTATACATTTTTAGCTCATTAAGAAACTGAGGATAAATTTCTCAAAGAAATGCTATTTACCAAATTTAATTTTTATATCACTGCTTATTTTCAAAACACTGAAATATAGATGAAAGTAGATAATATGTCATTTTTATGAAATAAGAACTTAAGATGACACTACCTAATGAAAACACTAATTGAAATTAATAAAGAAGGCCTCGGAAATCTGTGACTGCCTCAGACCTTCCAACCCCTTAGGTGTGAATAAGCACCTGCTCTCTAATGTTGTGACATCATTGGAGAGCAGGTACCAACTTTCCCATTCTTTAAGCTATTAGCAGCATATTCTATAGTCAGCAGATAAAAGTCTGATGATCTGAGAGCATACCTGAAGGTACTGGGAAATCAAAATGAAGGTTAAAAATAAACCCACCCTTCTGTTTCTAAAGTTTATTACTGTACACCACTTCCCCCTTTGTTTTAATGTGCTAGATCCATCCACAGCTGCAAATTAATTTTTTCTGCTCCCTAAATGAATTACACGTAACCGTTTCTAAAAATGACTACAGACATGAAAGTCATTTTCACTTAATAACTAACTATTAATCTCATATTTCTTGGTGTCATTTCAGTATGAAGTGCAAACGAAAATTATGCTAAACATTGCAAATTTATGGCAAACACCAGCCCTTGATTTATATTATTATAGATGGTTTATCACCAGAAGCAATCTAAACAAAACTCCATCAGATAGATGTTACAATTTGTATTTATTTCTCCCAGCACTAAATGGTTCTTCAATTTCAGAACCACCATTAATTTCTTATAAATGCAAATCTTTATTTCTTATTTTAATCTACAATGATTTCTCTAAGTCTTCAGAAGATTAGCTTTTACATAAAATATTCAAATAACAATTATAAATGAGACTTTGTGTTCCCTGGGCAATCTATTAGCGATGATGCATAAAGGACTTAAAAAGAATGGGTGGTCCCCATCGATCCAAGATGTAATGGGCTAATAATGTGTTTCTCCTTCCTTTTTAAATGATCACCTTATAATTCCAAATCAAGTCACCTCTTATATGAAAATTTTCAATATTCATGAATATCTCTAACTTGCTTGGACTACCTTTGAAATCATCTAGTTTTATTATGTTTTCTTTGGGGATCTCTGGGAAGACTTAACTTTGCTTGCTTGGAAATGTAACCATTTATTTGCCTCTTACTTTCATTACCATCTCAGAGCAGGAAACCTTATGAATTGTACCCTTATAAAACAATCTAGAGATTGCTGACCACTCAGTCTATCCTCCAGTGCCTGCTCGCTAATCCTCCCCAACTCATCGTCCTAACTCCTTGCTAATGTCTGTCTGATTTAAGGAGTTCACTAGTGAAAATTC